CCCTAATAAGGCGCTAGTTTTGTACTTATAGCAAATATAGCTGTTTTCCAGCTAAAAACGCTGCAAACAAGCCAAAACGCAATGTTTTCGGTTACATTAATATAGAATCTGCAAGAAAACACCGACGTCAGGCGGAAACACAAAGCTTTCAACGAAATTCAGCCCAAAGTGTGCAAAAATGGTTCATCTTGGTCACAACACGCTCTAATAGGGCTAAACAAAAAACGGTTTTGCAGAAAGTATGTGCAAACGAGCAGAAATGCACATTTTTTTATTACATTGCGTTGATATCTGTAAGAAAACACGAAATCCAGGTGAATTGCGATGTTTTCAGCGAAATTTGGCCAAAAAGTGAAAAGCGCTACGATTGCCCTTCAAAAAAAAGCTCAAATCGGGCTCTAAAACACGGTTTTGCAAAAGGTATCTTGAAACAGATGAAAAGACATTTTTTTTAAAAAGATAGCTTTAGCAGAGCTCCAGTAAATGTATTTCTAGCCCTTCACTTTATTAAAAATTCCCAGCACTGGATGTCGAAGAGGTTATCTAGGGGACAAAGGGACAAGTCTGTGTTGGAGAGGAGACAGAGGAGGACTGCTCCAACAAATTTCTCCAACGTATCATCCTCCACTGATAAGCGTAGAAAATTAAGAAGTCACTTTCAACTCAGGGTAAACCTGTTATTTCTTACCTGTCTTTCGACAATTTGCGTTTCGTTATTGATACATGGCGTCCTTTTAAGAGTTTTCTGTAATCTAATTCGGTAACCTCTGCTGTAACTGCATATAATGTCAGTGTCTCATACATGACCTTGGCAACTCTGGCTACTGAAGTACGAAATTTATCCTGCACCTGCTTTTTCTCGCTGCGAAAGTTTGGTTTAAACGAAGACAAGCTAGAACAAGATTATTTTTCAAACTTGATTATTAATAGAGACTTAGGATTCAATAATGAAGATGTTTAGAGAAACCTAGAAAAAGTAACTGGATCTCATTTGTACATGTAAATTACAGAAATTAATTTCAAACATCAATCAAGTTTTCTCGTTAGTTGATTTGATGTCGTTATTGGCCTTCGTGTCAAGATTATGTGGATTAGTGCAATACGAAAACCCTGTCGTCCGATCAACGTAGACCTATTCTAAAGCATGCAGGGAGCTGATCAGGTGACATACGGGACATCCTGATCTGTGTCACGCAACATATTGTCAATATTGTCACATCCCTCTCTTTTTTCTTTTTGAGATCCGCAACATGGACCTATTCGCAATTACAATATCAACATGTACTAACAGTTATGAGTTTGTGACGAGTTCCTGCTTTATGTAACATAATCTTTAAGATGTGTTGGCTTCTTTATCGCACGGCCATGGCGGGTAACTGTTTGCTTCTCTGCTTGGTGGTTCTCCTCCGCTGCTTCTTCCGCTTGATCATTGGTTGGCTCCAGCTTAGTGTCTTTTTGTTCCGTACATGGGCCTCTGGCAGCTCATTCGTGTTTTTAGATGTACCCGGTTGCGCCTCAACTGTGTCCCCTCGTTGTTTTCCACCACATATGACCTGTAATCAAGGCGGGCTATGACAGAACCCTTCTTCCATGACTTATCACCGATTGTGAATGGTTTGATTCTTACTGAGTCACCAATACCTAGTGGCGATAGCTCCCGGGCATCTCTGTCATAATAGTGTGCCTGCCTATGTTGTTGTTTCCTCATCTTGGAATGTTCAGCCTCTTTTTCTACAATCCTGGGCTGTAGCAGGGTGTCTGTGGTTGGTAGCCTGGATCTTGTCCTACGGTTGAGGAGGCGCTGTACTAGACTTCTGCCAATTCCTTGTGAGGGAGTGTTCCTTATTGCAAGGAGCGCCAGGTGCTGATCTTGGCGGGTCTTTCTGTTTTTCTTAAGATGCTCTTTGCAGCTTTCACAGCTGCCTCTACCTTTCCATTGGACTGAGTATGATGAGGTGAGCAGGGGGTGTGTTGGATATCCCACTCACGTGTGAAACGCTGGAAGGCATCGGCAGTGAAATTAGTCCCATTGTCAGAGACTAGGGTGGTTGGGATACCAAACCTTGCAAAATGCGCCTTCAGCTTTCTGATGGTTGTGGAGGCTTTGGTGTCCTCTAGTCGATCAATTTCCCAATAGTTGCTGTAATAGTCAACGGTTATGAGATAATCAGTTCCTTTGTAGGTCAGCATATGTCTCCCATGGTCTGTCCACTATATCATGAGACACGAGTGGTTCTTTGCATTGTGACTCTGTCTGGTACTCCCTACATGCCTCACAGGTGGAGATCCATTCGTTAATTTCGGCGTTGATTCTAGGCCAGTATACACATTCTCGTGCCCTTCGAAGGCAACGTTCTGTTGAGGTGTGCGCATGAGCGTGTACTGTCAGGACGTGTCTTTCCACACTCCCTACTCCTGATAATTTCTCTTTAACTTCTAATGCCGGACTCGGTAAAATTCCTTAAAAAGAGCAACGGAGAGCTGAAGAGGCAGCTCGAGCAAGCTCAAAAAGAGTTGAAGAACCTGGAGGAGCGAGTTACGAACCAAGAATGTATGGTAAGAAATGTCAGTTGTCAAGAAGGCGCTGCGGCCATCTTGAATAGAGAAGCTAAGGCGAGCCTTGAGTTCGTTAGTCAAGAGTTTGATGATACTAAGCTCCAGCTGGAAAGAATTCGGGAATCCCTCGCCAACATCGAACAACGGCTTACCAATCTCGAGGAACGATTGCTAAACCTTGAATCTATATTACGCGTATCGATAAGGGTTATTGGGGTCCACGTTTAAAGGCGACGATGGGGTCGAGATAGACTCTATCGTATTCTTTCTCGACGATTTTACTCACACCTTACCAATCTTAAAGAAAGCACTTATAAAAATGGTATGGCCCTTCGCACGCTTTATCTCTACTCCTCCTTGTGTGCACCGGTGATCATGGGTGATCAGACCACCGATCTGTTCCGCACGTTTCAGTATCGTTCTCTATTGAAAGGGAGTTATTACTACGAGCCGAAACACGTTCATTAAATTGCCTTGCCAAATCAACACATCGACGAGGTGGAAACACAACTCAGCGAATCGGAAAATAATCATCTGGCGCAATTTACTAAAGACGGAGAAAGCATCGTCACGCTACATTTTAGAATTAATTCAACACGAGTGTATGTGTAAGCAGTCACATCATGGTGGGCGTGAAAAGAGATATCTCCAGGGGAACAGGAGGTGTCACACGGCAGGAACCCTACAACTCCAAAAAACGAAGAAACCCCCTGCTATTTAGTAAAAGACGAAAAACTCAAAAGAAGCAAAAAGGAACGATATCGAATCCGCTATTGCTAGATTCAGGGTAACTGCCATTCCTAAAGGTATTAAGATGTTGTATAACATTGCTAAAGGAAAACCCGTCTCGGATCGAATCAAACACCTAGAAGACGGATATGCCAGGAGATATGCAGCCTATCGTAACAGTCGAGGACGCATGACTAAACTCCAATGGACAAAAGCAAATCATGCAGTAATACGGCCAGAACCTTGTTGTATCATGTAAACAACGATTTATTTTACCATGCTTCCACATGGAAAGTGTTAAAGACGGGACATGCTATAAAAAAGACGATGTAGTCTGCATAGTACACAAGATGCCTATGGGGATTTGATAGATTAAATCACTGTAGATGTCTTTTTAACAATTTTTTATTGCAAATAAACATGTTCAATACACTAAAAGGTTGGCGAGTTCTATATCCTCTGCTTCTAATCTTTTATACCCGTACGGAAACGATTTAAAGGAATCACTGTCCATGACTCGCTTATCAAACACGAGCCAATACGATTTCAATTGGGTTTCGGTACGTATTTTTTCTTGACGGGGTCTCTTATAAAATGCAGGGGATTGATAATATCCTTCTTTCTAGGTCCTTCTAAGGGGTGGCCTATTTCGTCTAAGATGTTCTGCTTCATGACGTCGTAATTGAGTTGTGCCATACCGCGCACGTTTAACGAAAATCCTTTCACTTTCACGCACGATTTGCCTTGAGCTGTAACGTACCCATAATTCTCGACTCCCGCCGAAATAAATTCCACGATATGGTCCTCTTCGTCTAACTCATTCGTCATATCACCGAATCTGTGTCGTAATACAAGACGCGATCTTTCAAAATTTCTAGCGATTCGTATAGTTTAAGGCGTACCTGACACGTGGTAAAGGTGCCGATAAATACATTGGTGGCGCGCCCTTTGAGAGGGTCTTCGTCTTCTTGTTTAGACACCACCTCTACTAGTTCGGGGGATAAGATTCTAATCTCTTGTACCAGTTCCAGCGGGTCATCGATCAGGTTTAAAAGGGAGGGGGGTTGCGTGATTTTATGCGTTTTGGCCTCGTTACAATTCTGACCACACTTTCCCCAGAAAGAATTCAGCATGAGTTTGGCCGTCGCTTTTCTCCCAGGGATTTTTGTAATCATGGTGGGATCCAGATCGATACATTCGCGATCTTTATAGTGACGAATGCAGTCGGCTTTCTGCTCTTCCGTCTGGCACCAGGCGGGATACCCGCTACTTTCCTGCTTGATGTTAAGCCAGGTGTCGACGTAGGGGGCAGTGAGACCGCGCCGTCTTTGTTCGAAATGCCACACCTCGTGGATTCTGATGAGTTTGTACCCCATGGGGATGGCTTTGTGGATTTCGGGAGTACACCACGTGCCGCATAACATGCGCTCTTCGTCCGTATGGGGGCAAATGTAATTTCTTTCGTCTAAGGGTTTGGTAGATTCTTGCTGGACGCACGTACGGCAGAGGGGAAAGGTAAGTTTAGAGTCAGACCCAATTTTCTGATGATGAGGCAACACGGGGTTGAAGAGATGCGCGGGTGGTAGAATATCTATTTTCATCCACCCATAGTATGCGCAAGGATCTTGATTTTCAGGCTCTAAGTAAATGGATGGATGCCCGACGGGGTATTCGCCATATTTGTTGACCCACGGGTATTCTTAGGTCACGTCCACTTATCGGATCTGTTCTCCTTGGGTGGGGTCTATGCGGTGGTAAAGCGTGGTCGCTCCACTCCTTCCGCCAAGAAACGCCTCGCGAGGATGGATGGGTGTGGTCAAGGAGAGAGACTGGACAAAGTCGCGGAGGTCTGGATTGGATTTCTTGAGTTTTTCCCATTGACACTGCCACATTTCTACGACGGTGTACCCCAATTGACGCAATTTGGCGGTTTTCTGGGTCGTCTGACGCCGGCAGGCTTCTACAGTCAGTCCGGAGCTAACGAAGGGAATCTGACTTCTTTGCGGGTAACACTCAAGGCACCCGTGGAAGAGGCATCCATGGAATTCGTAGACGGTGCGCGAAGAGGCATCGTAACCGTCTACGCGATACACGGTACATCCATGAGGAATGCTGTACTCGCCACCGTTTCTCGCATGCTCAAGTCTCGTCCCCAGGTTTCGCTCGGTCCAGAGTAACCATTCTAAGGCCACGTGCGAATGATTGGGCGTTGCACCTTCCCAGCCGCCAACGGGTTCTATGGCTATGGACTCTGGGGTCGTGACACATTTTCGCCAATATCGGTTGCAGGCTTGTGCGATGGTGACGCATTTTTCCATGGAATTTGCGATGGAATGAAACTCTCGAATGAATTTCAGGCACTCGGCTTTCAACAACTTCACATCGGAACGACAGTAAGCTAGCAGTTCTTCTTTGAGGTGAAACGGCTGGTTCTTTCTCTGCCCTTCCGTGTACCACGATTCAAATTCTTGTTTTTTATTTTCTGACATACCCTCTAGATCGTAATATTCGGCTGCTGGGAGTGGTTCGACGTAATTCTGATGGTCTGGGGTATGAAATTTATAGGGGAAGAAACCTTTCTTCAGCTTGGGGATACCAAAGGTGCTCGAGAAGGCAGATAAGGCCATGGGAGGAAACACATGCAGTCTTTCTACACGATCTTGCCCACTTGCAATCATAAATTTTTGGTACCATTCGGAATGATGAATTCGAAGCGACGCTTTTCTTTCACTATCTGTTCCTGCAGAAAGACGGCATCGTACCTTTTCAAATTATGAAAAATGCCTATCACTTCTCTAAAATCGTCCCAATTCCGGTTTTCTTCGGGGGGACCGTACGCCAACTCGTCCATGAAAGCGAGAAAGTCTCTGGTACATTCGTGGCCATAAAATTCAAAGACTTCGTAACTCTCTGAAGTTTCTGCCACGATGAGGATAGGAATATGTGTGCCGTCTTCATAGAGCAAAGCTCCAAAATCTGCCCACACTCACGGGAGGTTCCACGTAAGCCGAGACGTCAGGGTTTGTTTTCCTTTGGCGTTTTAGTTTGGCTTTGGATTTCTTCTTGGGCTTATCTTCGTCGGCAGACACGGGCTGTATGAAATATTTATGGTACGGAGATCGACGTCTTCTTTGCAATTACCGCATTCACTCCAGTAACAGCGATGAGGCTGATTGTTGTCGGGGCGAGATTCTTTGCAGCACATCCCGCCTCCTATAAATGTGGTACACAACCCCTGGCTATGGTTGACGGGCCATACAGGCATCATCGTAAAAATGGCGGTTACAATGTCTGCAGAGTAGGGTGAGGTGATGCAATTTGGCGCCACACTCTATGGGTTACAACGCCGGCCTTCACATGGGTGGTGACGGAGTTCGTCATGGTCAAATCCTCCGTTGCAGGTGTCGCAGAAGTAACTTCGCTCTAGGAAACCCGTATACGAGGTACACCGGTGGTAATGCCCCACGCTTTCTCCCTCCGGGTCTGACTCGAAGAGAAGTCGAATGGTTTTGGTAGCTGCCACGGTTCCCTCGTAGGTGATACAGTAGGGATAATCAACGCTCATCACTTTTAACTTGTAGTCGGGGGCGAGATACTCTTGGAATTTCTTTAATTCTTCGCGACCACAGGGTCCTTCGGGAACGCCAGCTTCTCGGTGTAGATATTTTGCGCAATGGGTGAGAACAGACGGGATATTTTTAAGATTTCTGTAATAGTTGAAACTTTCCTTATCGTCGTCTTGATGGAGGTGGGCTTTCGTGAGCCAATTAGCTCTGGCCAAACAGAGGTCATCTTAAGTATTTTCGATGGGAAGTACGCATCGTTTGTGACGAAGTACCGTTACCATTTTTAATTTTCCCAAGATGGCCTTAGTTCTTCCGCGGCGTCTGGTTCCGCGATGCCGGTCATGTCCACTTGAAACTCGTCTTCAGCATTAAAGGATTCGTTTGAATTGAGTTGGTTGGCCAAGGTTTGTAGATAGATTTCAAATCGGGGAGTATCGTTTAAAAGTTCCGCCACGGTGAATTTTGGACGATTGCAGTGGGTGTGAAGACTTTTTGGTAATGAAATTGCACATGACCCGATCTTCTTCTTTCAAATGTTTTCCTTTCCAGAGTTGGGTCGTTTGAGACTTTTGTATCACCCGGCGCGCCATGTTCGCTACGCCTCGATTAATTTCACGCCCGACATCGTCTCGTTTGGTAGCGGGACGCAACTGCTTTTTTTGGGCGACACCGCGTTGCTTATGGACCGATTTCAGCGCTTTTTTGGGGTGCCCGATGGGTTGAAACTCAAATTCGAATAGGGAGCTTTGCTGACGGTCTAATTCCTCTCCCATCTCGATCATCTCTTCGTCCAACACATTGTCTTGCGCATCAAAATCATCATAAAGTTTCCCGATCACAGTCATCAGTTCGTCTGAGATATCATCATCACCAAACTCCTCCTATTTCCTTTTACCCTTTTAATCACAAACAACAACATTCTATTGTTTACTCATATATTTCTTACACGAGTCGGTATGCATCTGGTAATTAGAAAATTGATTAGCTAAATTCACTTTAGCGCGATGACAATAACACTCTTCTAATTCTCAGAGGATGTATTTACATTCAACGCAATTCTAAAGCGACAAAAGAATAGTTCATTCTACCACCATCACACTACATTTCTATCCTTACACACTTACGTTATTGTTGTTGGCCATGTCTTTCTTTTCCCTCTTCTGACTGCTTCTTTTTGCTTCTTCTTCTGGCTTCTAGCTCGACGGTTCTACTTCTGCAACGATGCTAGAAAAAGCTGCTGGCTATATAGGAAACTTTCGCGTCACCACGTGGACGCGGCGTTGGTGTGTATCCAATGACGTTCGTATCTTTCTAACGGTAGAAATGTACTTTATTGTTCACGATATTTATTTGCGCGCTCGCTCCAATGAGGTTTCGTTATTTCCAACGTGTTCTATAGTGTCCTTCATGACTCAGTGAAAATATATACAAGACGCTAACCTTCGTAACGGTTCATTTCGAACACATCTTCTCTTCGAAACACGTCAAGCATTTTTTGGTCAATAGAGCATACATACCTGCGAGTTAGCCACCGATAACCATTCTTATTATACTTCTCTAGGCTTATGGAATATTTTTTCATATTTACATATTACCCGTGTCTTTGCATGCTTTTATCATTCCATCATTCCGCCACCTAATCCTCGTCACACACCTCTACTCTTATTAATACCCTCTACACAATCGAGTCACCTGCAATTACGCTTGTACCAAGCCATTAGATAATACCTACTGTTTTTTCTATCTTTTGTAGACTCGTCCACCGGGATTAGAATCTTACCACTTTTATTTAGGGTTTTTTAACGAACTTCTAGTTCACGTACGGTACATGGACTATTTTTGTTTACACATGTATTTTCAAGACGCGCGAGTGTTAAATAATGTGATTTCCAGCTGTGATCTTTGTACGACCATGATATTTTTTAATTACCCACCGACTCACCCGAACTTAGAATGGTTAGGTACTGCCTATAGTAGTCATTGGAACGAAATTCGCTTTTATTCATTTTCTTTGTAATTTTTTTTCTAGGCACCCACCCTGTTTCATTTTACGGTGTGGGAATACAGACATCTCTTTTATTTTGTAAAGTATTTCTTGCGTCCCATTCCTCCTTCTCGCGACCTTTTTCTTGTATATAATAATTTTGAAATTTTTTGTGGAATGCAATTGTCTTTATGATATCATGTCGCACGTATGTCATACTTTCGCACTTCATCCAGCACGAGTAGATATGATAGACACGGCCATTCATTTATGTTGCAGCTATTGGACTGGTCTTTGTATTTTACTCTATAGTATTCCTTATAAATAAACACAACCAGTTCATGTCAATGTGTCTTTATTGAGTTCCCAGGGTCTCTCATCTTCCCGCCCCCTGGAGCGAGCAATGAGAGACCCTGGTTTAGGCTGGTCACGTGTTTAGAGAGCAAAAAAATTCCTTTGGGACGAGTCGTTTCTTTCCTCGATTTTTGCCTCGTATCCTTTGTCATCTTTAAATCGACGCTATCGTTGTTCAGGTCGCCACGTTTCATAGCAGCCTTCAAGTCGCTATATCTCGGAGTTGGTATTGTAACCTTAATTTAAAACCCAAACAAGTCCAGTGTTTAGAAGCGATGTATTCGGCCAGAGATGTTGTGAATAAAGGCTGATAGTTTCGAAAGAAACTGTTTGGGGCTGCGTCGGTGGGAGTAACGAAATAATTTGGATATATCAACAAAGTTGAAATGGTAAATTGGCCACCGTAACGATTACAAAAGCTGACGTTTCGAGCGTTAGCCCCTCGTCGGAGCGAATAGGGGAATTGTGGGTTGTGTGTGCTTTTAAAGGCAGAAAATGGAGCTACGTTATTGGTGGGAACATGGCAACGAGAACAACATGAATAAATTAGTCGAATGAAAAGCGTTCGTTGATCCTTGTGGGATTTAGACTGCCGGTTTGAAAGATGAGCTTTTGCTCAAGAGTTTTACGGCTTTCCGTGCCACCTAGGTGCAAGGAAAGACCGCAGATTGCCATATGTTGCTTAGAATGATTAGGTAAGAGATGTTGTGGCCGTTTTACCGACGGGATACGGTAAATGTTTGATTTTTCATCTTCTTAATTCTTCACTCTTCTTCGAGAAGTTAAACAGTCAACGACCTATACCTTCCTTGTCATTTCGTCCAGTTGTTTAAGTTTTTTCGCCATTGAATAGCTTTATTAAAGATCAAATAAAAACGAGCACCGGCAGCCGTAGATTTTTTGTGACTAAATGTCCCCTCTATTAACTATGACTAAATTGAACACTTACGTATATGAGCACGATCCTTCGCAGTAAAGCACTATTTGAGCAATAGTGAAAATCAGACCTGAAAAAAATTTCAGGCCTGTACGGGATTATTTCAGGCCTGTACGGGATTTCAAGCCTGCTCCCAGTTGGCTTGTTAGCTCAATTGGTAGAGCGCTGCACTAGTATCGCAGAGGTCAGTGGTTCGAATCCCGTACAGGCCTGAAATTTTTTTCAGGTCTGATTTTCACTATTGCTCAAATAGTGCTTTACTGCGAAGGATCGTGCTCATATACGTCTCATAACCGCAGTTCACACATATGTTTCATATGTATGTTGTTGTTAAATTGAACACTGGCACGTTTAATTATGTAAACAAAGGAAGCGAACAGTTACGTGCAAGCGCGTGCGCATATTTTTCCTCTTCTGAAGGAAATAGGTACTAGAAAAAGAGAGATCCGTTAGACGAGCAGAAAAAAAAAATCATATCTGACAGCGTCTGAGTCAATCAAAGGTAGCTCATTCTGAAAGAAATTTGTCACCTTTCGTAAAAATACTCGCAACTCAGAAGCTGCAAAGAAGTATCTGGGACCGTCGAGACGTAACAAAAAACAAATCTGGCAAAACACTATCGAAGATACAGTTGTTTACCTCTCTTCCAGCCAAAGACTACATTTGTGTTGGTGCTTGTACGAAATTTAGACCGCGACGGCTTCTCTCAGATTCCCTTGCATCATAGCCAGGGTGCGTGACACAGATTGTGATATTTCTGCACATCGCTTCACCGTTTCGATAAAACTCTGACTTTCATTGATCACCGTTTTGAAAGAAATAAAACTTTTCAAGCGTCTTTTCAAGGCCTACATAATGGATGTGGAAAAAAATTTTCTTGTCTCAACGGTCGGCCATAAATCTCCTCAGCGGCGACGAGCGATGCGCGATTTCCTTTCGCATAGATGTTCTTCGAGAAGATACTTCTCCAACTGATTTACAAAGCCTGCAACAATTGATATTTACCGTAGTGGAAGATTTACTGATCTTTTTGGGCGTCTGCTGAATATTCTCAGTTGACATTCGGTTCGAAGCGCTTCACGTGTAGTTTGTTTTTATTGCCAATAAGCTACGCTCGCCAGTGGACTAAGTGGAGAGAAAATCCCACTTATCTGCCCKTCCCTCAGTCCGCTAATTTGAAATCTCCTTAAAATCTGGGAGACACGTGACCAGCCTAAGCCAGGGTCTCTCCTGACTTGCTCCAGGGGGCGGGAAGATGAGAGACCCTGGAAACGAGGTTGACCTATTTTTACAACGAATGTCACTCCAACGTTCTGAATATTTCACCACCGTCCATGCTTCTACATCTCCCATGAGTACAGTCGTTTTCTGCCCCGAATGCTGCCATTCTTCGTAAGATTTCATGACATCCTCAAAAGTAAAGCAGTTGTCCTGAATTTTCTTTCCTACTCTCGCAAATTCGTGCCAACGTGTAAAGAAATACAACTGCATGTGCGCTCCTTGGGGAATACCAAACTGCCTGAGTTTTTGGGGGGCTGCATCGTCCATGAGTTCACACCACTCGTCAAATTCCCTCCTTTCATCGTCAGATCTGCGCTGGAGTATATACGATTAGTCTTGTTTTAAAATCTCGCGAACAAGTACAAGAAATAACCATAAATCTCTATAGTCCCAGACGCGGGAAATGAGGCGATGACATATTTCTAAGGAAGGGGTGTCTTCAAAACCTAAGATGGCTTGCAGCAAGACTCGTGCGCGCCCCGTTTTGGTACAGGGATGAGTATCGAATTTATAGATTTCGTGAGGGCATAGATAGGTCTGATAATACACTTCTCGGGGCTACGAATCGGGAAGCTCTTTACGACACTCCATCGAGACACAAATGACTACGCACATGTACTTGTTTAAACGTTTATTTAGTATTAACAACAATACATTTACAATACAGAGGAGATGTTGAAAATGAAGACGGAACTAGCCCAGTCAGCTGTAAGGGAGGACGTTTATGCTAAAGCAGAGGCAAACGAGCGTGGTAAACTGTCTCACTTTGATGAAATTGAAGAACAGCTTGAAGAAGTCTATCGTAATACTAAGTCGAAGATTAAGATTAAAGAATCTCCTCTTGATCCACTGGCACCTGAATGGCCAAATGAGGCGCGACCACTAGTTACGCGCTCTGTGTTGACTACGTTGAAAAGGGAGACTGAAAAGGACGAGTCTTCTACAAAGGAAGATGACTTTGCTAAGATGATGACTATTCAAGAAAGACAAATTAAGTGTATCGAAGAACTGGTAGCACAGCAACAAAGGAGTGCCTTGACTTTAACACTGCCCAAACCTGAAGTACCCGTGTTCAGTGGAGATCCTATTGAGTACAACAAGTTTGCGAAAGCATTTGAGACATCGATAGAAGCACGGTTGTATTATTTAGTCCAGTACACTTCGGGAGCTGTTCAAGAGTTGATGCAGAGCTGTTCACTGATGGATTCAGATAGAGGTTACCAGGAAGCAAGGAGGCTCCTCAAGAGCAGGTATGGCCAACCCTACAGGATCGCTTCTGCATATGTTGATGAGGTTGTAAATGGACCACAAATTAAATCCCAAGATGGGGAAGCCTTACAGAAGTTTTCAGTGCTTTTGACCAGCTGCAGGAACACACTTAAAGGAACTGAATATCAAAGCAAGATAGATAACCCAGATAGCTTGAAAGGAATTGTAAATCGTCTGCCATACGATGCCCGGAATAGATGGCGCTTCACGGCTGACAACATCAGTGGAAAGGAAAACAGACAAGTAACACTTGATGATATTGCCAGCTTTGTCGAACGAGAAGCTCGTGCAGCAACACATCCAGTGTTTGGAGACATATCAGGCAACCTGAGAGATAAAGAATCCCACAAGAGGAAACCTCCTGTTAGGCCTAAAGGTTCTAGCTTCGGTACTCAAACCGACAAAACCAATGCTAAGAAGGATAATCAAAAAGAGAAGAAAGAATCAGGATATTCTAGACCAGTCAAGTGTATCTTTTGCCACAGCAGCCACGTGTTACAAGAATGCAAGATGTTCCAACGAAAGTCTTACAGCGAGCGAGAAGATTTTGCAATGAAAAAGGGACTTTCCTTCAATTGTCTCATTCCTCATCATCGAGCACGAGATTGTAGAAAACCTGCTGCATGCACCGACTGTGGAGGGAAACATGCCATGATTTTACACCCTCCTCCTCCCCCTAACAGCGAAAGACATTCAGAAGATACTAATCAAAGTGAGACGACTGGTATAAACAATGGGTTTGTTGAGGTTGAGAAGACACAGTGTAGTTCCTTTGGGGTCAACAGATCAAGGATTGGATTAGCTGCTGTGACAGTGAAAGTGAAAGCCGAAGGTAGTCACAATGTTGTAGTAACTCATGCCTTTCATGATGGAGGATCTAATTCGACGTTCTGTACCGAAGTACTCCTAAAACAACTGGGCCTTGATGGCAAGAAAACAGAATTCTCTCTAACGACCATTGAAAWGGAAAACAGTATTATAAAGAGCAGTTTAGTAAGCCTTGAGTTGTTTGACCTTGAAGAAGAAAACCTTATTGAACTGCCCACAGTGTTCTCAGTTAAATCCTTACCAGTGTCAGCTGAAGATGTCCCAAAGCAAGATGATGTTGACAGGTGGCCCCACCTACATGGAATTCGAGTGTCTGAATTAGATGTTGCAGTCGGTCTGCTAGTGGGAAATGACAACATGAAAGCATTAGAACCAAAGGAGCGAGGGCGGTGGACCGTATGCAACGAAAATCCGCTTTGGACGGGCCATTAATGGTCCACTTGGCTCCAACCATAAGGAAAGTAAATGCACAGCAAATCTTATCTTAACAGACCATGAGCTGAACGAGCAGTTCAAGAACTTTGCAATCGAGAGTTCAGTGAATGTATTACAGATAGTGAACTAGGGCCATCCCAAGATGATCAAAGAGCAATTTCTATTATGAAGAAATCCGTCAAGTTGAAGGACAATCATTATGAAATATCGTTGCCATGGAGAGATGATCAACCATGTTTACCGAACAGCAGACCTATGGCATCTCGCAGACTGGGACTCCTGAAAAGGAGATTACAGAGAAATTCAGAGCTGCATGGAAGATATTCAACTGTTATCAACGACATGCTTATTAAAGGGTATGCCCAGAAAGTCCCGGAAGAAGAACGTAATCGTCAAGAGGGGTTTTTGTGGTACTTACCCCACCATCCAGTGCACCACCCACTAAAACCTGACCAAACAAGAGTCGTGTTCGACTTTTCAGCCAAATACCGTGGCACATCACTAAATGACAAGTTATTGCAGGGACCCGACTTGACGAATTCATTGCTGGGAGTATTAACTCGACTTCGACAGGAGCACATTGCAATGATGGCAGATATTGAATCTATGTTCCACCAGGTGTGAGTAACCCCTGAGCATTGTGACGCCTTAAGATTTCTCTGGTGGCCAGAAGGCGACCTTAATCGGGCCCCGAAGGATTATCGAATGCAAGTTCATCTGTTCGGTGCAACATCCTCACCCAGCTGCGCAAATTTTGGATTACGAAAGGTAGCCGAAGATAATGAAGAGAAGTTTAGCTGTGATGTTATTGAAACCGTCAAACGTAATTTTTACAAGGATGACTGTTTAAAGTCAGTCGAGACCGAGGACACTGCTATCACATTAGCCGACCAGCTTAGTAAACTTCTGCAGAATGGTGGATTCCGACTGACGAAGTGGTGTCAAGTTCAAAAAAGGTTATAGAGTCCATTCCACAAGGTGAGAGAGCCAAATCAGTCAAGCTGCTCAACTTTGATCACTTACCAAGCGAGCCTGCACTGGGGATCCAGTGAAAACATCCAGAAAGACAGATTTGAGTTCAACATCAACGTGAAACCGAGGGACCCGACTAGACCCGGGATATTGGCTGTTTTTAGTTCTATATATGACCCATTGGGTTTGGCTGCACCATTTGTGCTGACTGCTAAGATCCTTCTGCAAGACCTATGCCGAAGAAAGCTAGGATGGGATGACACCATACCTGGAGATGACGAAGACCGCTGGCATGTCTGGCTTGCCGATTTACCTAAACTGTCAGGTTTCTCTGTTAACCGATGCATCAAGCCGAAGAATTTCAATGATATCATGACCAGCCAATTGCACCATTTTTCAGATGGTTCAACCAGTGGCTACGGAGCTGTGACCTACCTGCACTTGACCGATTCTTATGGTAACATCAGCTGCACCCTGATGACAAGCAAGTCCCGAGTCGTGCCACTCAAACAAATCACCATCCCTAGACTAGAATTATCATCCGCCTCAATAGCCATTAGATTGGACAAGATGATGAGAAAGGAACTGGAGCTCCCCATCGACGACTCGATGTTTTGGATTGACAGCTCCTCTGTACTCAAGTATATAATGAGTGAAGACAGAAGATTCCATACATTCGTGGCCAACAGGGTAGCTCTAATTCGCGACGGTTCGAGCCCATGTCAGTGGAGATATATCCAGTCCAAACATAATCCCACTGATGACGTGTCGAGAGGATTGACAGCAGATACACTCCTTGGAAGTTCGAGGTGGCTACTGGGGCCGGAGTTCTTGATGAAAACAGAAGACCATTGGCCAAAATGCATAGAAACTCTGGAAAGGATTTCAGACGAGGACCCAGAAGTCAAGAAGGAAGCAAAAGCAGGTGGAGCATCACGAAAGGAAGACCCAGAACTGGTAGACGAAATGATGAAGCGATTCTCCTCATGGCACAAATTAAAGAAGTTTATTCTTTGGGTCTTGCCGTACAAAGAAAACCTCCGAAATTCTGGTGATTGTCTTAAGAATCCTAAAGACCAAACGAAGACAAAAATAGCAACACCAATTTCGGTTAAAGAAATGGAAGTTGCCGAAAGGGAAATCCTCAAGTATGTCCAAAGAAAGAGTTTCCCAGAAGAAATGGAGATCTTGAAGAGCAAGGAGACAAACAACGAGATGATCTGCATCCAGCCTCAGTCACGGACGAAGTTGATCAAGAAGTCCAGTGCTATCTACAAGTTGGATCCTAGACTAATTGATGGGCTCTTGTTAGTCGGTGGTCGACTCAGACCTGCTTCGATCCTAGAAAGTGCCAAGCATCAAGTCATTTTGCCCAAGGAAAATCACGTATCCGACCTAATTATTCAGTGCTGTCCTTTGGCCTCAGGACACTCAGGTAGAGAGCACGTTTTATCCTTGTTGCGAGAAAGATTCTGGGTTATCAGAGCCAATTCAGCCGTCCGAAGACGGAAGATGTTTCGGCTGTCGCCGCAGACAAGCTCCCGTTGCTGAACAGAAGATGGCTCATTTACCCGAAGACCGTGTCACCGAAAACAAGCCGCCATTGACTTTCGTTAGTGTTGATTTCTTTGGACCATTCATTGTGAAAAGAGGACGGTCTGAGGTAAAGAGATATGGTTGTATCTTCAATTGTATGACCATAAGGGCGGCACACATCGAAGTGACTCACTCGCTTGACACCGACTCATTTGTACAGGCCTTACGCCGTTTCATAAGCCAAAGAGGGAAACCTGAACAGATCACAAGCGACAATGGTGGAAACTTTGTGAAGGGCAGTAAGGAGATCAGCAACGCAATCTCGGAGTGGAACCGTCAGAAGATTGATACCTATCTTCTTCAGCATGAGGTTCAGTGGGTATTTAACCCCCCACAGGATCTCATCACGGAGAAACATGGGAAAGGTGTATTAGAACTGTTCGGAAGGTCCTCAACGCAATTCTCAATCAGGAGATCCTTGATGATGAAGGTCTCTCCACTCTTCTCATTGAAGTTGAGTCAATCATTAATAGACGACCTATCACACAGGTTTCAGAGGACCCAAAGGATCTGGAAGCCTTGACTCCCAACCACCTACTACTGCTTAGATCAGACGTCCCCCTCACACCTGGAGTTTTCCGGAAAGAAGATCTATTTTCAAAAAGAAGATGGCTTCAATTCCAATATTTAGCTGACCAATTTTGGAAACGTTGGTCGAAAGAATACCTTCCACTTCTCCAAACAACATCGAAGTGGCATCTGGAGCGGAGAAACTTGAGCATTGGGGACATAGTCCTCATAGTAAACGACACTTGTTCACGAACTGCATGGCCTTTAGCCCGGATCACTGAAACCTTCCCTAACAGTGACGGATGTGTCAGAAGGGTCAAGGTGAAAACCAAGGGTGGAATCCTGATGCGACCCATCGACAAGTGTGTGCTGCTAGAAGCCGACCAGGAGAAAACTCAGTAACTTGAATCAAGATTAGTTTAGGACTGCGGTTGGAACCATTTAGGTTTAGTTAGTAAACACAACGCTACCGGCAACTGCGTGTATTTACTGGGGCCGGAATGTAGGTTCCAAACGGACATTTCATGATTTTAACATGACGCATCTCTAGTTGTTACCAGGCCGAGGGAGTGATCTTGTTCGGCCATGTGCATGATGAATTTTGTTCTGAAGATTGCGAATGGGAATCGTTTTCATCCTATCGACTTCGACGAACATTTTTCAGTTACTTTGAGAAGGAACCCTCAGATTTTTTGTAAGCGTTCGACATTTCGATTTATTTGAGCTTCATTTTGCTTTATTTTGCTTCGCGTTTTCGAGTTTCGATTGTGTAATTCTACTTTCAGAAATATATTTTTATGCAGTTTATTTGATGAACCTGGATTAAAAGACTAAAATTAACCGATCGATTCAGCGGCTACAAATATTACGTACGCAAAATCTTAATCCCTCCGCCATCTTGGATTCTTTTGTTCCCTTTGTTTGCGACGTCACCTTGAAAACCTTTATTTTTTTAAATAGATACAAAAACCCAACACATGAACATACGCGTTATGAATACTAATTTCCTAACGCTAACCCCAAAACCCTCCCCTCTCTTCATCCTAACCCCAACCCTGACCCCAACCCTAACCCCTGTACACCTACGTAGTATGAATATTAATGAGACCCTAAACCCCGTACACCTACGTGGTATGAATTCATTAACCTCGACCGAGTGACTCGGGCCCAGGCCTCTACAGAATGGCCATATAAGCGCCCTAAACTACTGATATTTGTTGAAATTGGATAACTCTCGCAACAACTCAGGTTATACATTAAATGCACAGCTATGTCTTCCATTTTTCCACTTATAATGTAACAAGCTGGCAAATCTTTTTAATAGATATTTAAACTCAAAAATTTTTTTACGTCTGCCCCTAAACATTGAAGGGAGAAGGCAGTAAAGACATGATTTAAAAGAGGAGGGTGCCCATTAAATTCAGTTCTTATTGAGGATGGATCCTTGCTTCTCCACATTCCCAACCTTTAAAACTCACACATTTAGTGACCAGTTCCTTACATGTATATCAATGTTTAGTCTGGATATCAGCATTTTTAAGAGCAACATGCACTATTGAGAGCTTGAGCCTGAGTATTTAATGCCATTCAAATAACATTACATGCTGTAATATTGGTAACGATAATGTTGCTATTTACATTAAAACTTTATGCAGGTCATCACACAGTCGTACACGAAAGAAGTCAGGTTACAGACTCCTCTGCTACAAGTTTTCAGGGCTTAAGGTACAAGGAATAAAGCAGGAAGATGGGCATGGTGAATCCTTTGTATAGAAAAGACGACGAGTTTTGTGAGATTAACTATAGGCCCGTAGCTGTGCTCCGTGCTCTTGACAATATATTTGGAAAGGCTTCTATCGGAGCAGATGTACGAATGCTACGATGGACTCTTATCAGACTTCATAAGCGCCTGTAGAAAGTTTCATAGTTGTGAGACTTCTTTGTTATGATTTTTTACAGTGCGCTATGCATCATGGTCTGGGTAATAAAGTCTCCAGTTACAAATGAATAAAGGCTGATAGTTTCGATTATAATGGCTGACGCTTCGAACGTTAGCCCTTCGTCGGAGCGAATGGGTTCCCGCTCAAGAAACCCAACTTGGTGTCAGGAGTGGAATCATAAAAACAAACAAACAAACCTCCTGCCAAAAAGACTGCCAACGCAACCTGGGAAATCTGGCGAACCGCAACTCCATTTAGTTACTCAAAGGCATACTCGCACTCATCGAACACGAAGCACATGACCGACAGCAAGCCTCCGAAATTAACTCTCACTGATAACAACGCCGCAAGCGTACGAATCTGGCGTAGAAAATTCAACGCTTGGTGCTTGCTTCAACGATCCCGGCGAGACACAAGCAAAAGTCCAACGTCCCCAGACCACTGGGTTGAAAACAAAGCACAATGCGAAATTGCTGCATTTTACCTCGCTCTTCCAGACGACGTGTTAAATATTTGGATCACGTATCTTATGGGGGGGGCCTCGACCGATATATCGGTCGATGTATCAACCGATATATCGGTCGATACATCGGTCGATGCTCGGCCGAGTATCGGTCGATACTCGATCGAGTACAGGTCGATATATCGGTGGAGTATCGACCGATGTATCCACCAATACACCTATCGGTCAATATACTTGGCGATTCATCGATACTTGACCGATACTTGACCGACACTTGACCGATACTTGACCGAAACTTCACCGATACTTCACCGATATTTCACTGATGCTTCACCGGCACTTTACATCGGTCGACACGCGACCGATAGGTAAATGCTCTAGTATCGGTCGATATATCTACCGATATGATTTGAATATAAGAACAAAGTTGAAATGGTATAAATTTCCACCGTTACGATTATAAAAGCTGACGTTTCGAGCGTTAGCCCTTCGTCGGAGCGATAGTTTGGTCGATACATCGGTCGATAGTATTTACTAACGGTCGACAGTATCTAGTATGGGTCGATATATCGGTCGATAGTATCGGTCAATATATCGGTAGATAGTATCTAGTATCGGTCGATATATCGGTCGATACATCAAACAATATATCGACCGATATTTCGGTAGGCAGACAGATGTTTCGGTGGATATGTTCATACAATTCGGCGAATACACAGCAACACCATACAAGGTTGACAGTATATCTCTAAATCTGCCAACATGCCGATATAATAGTGCACATCAGGGATACCTCAGCGATTATCGGTCGTTTCTGGGGAAAGAAAACGCGAGAAACCCCAATGGCCCACAGCAATTGATTAACGCTGTTGTGGATGGATCCGGCTTTTAATTTTTTTTTGGAGGAAAATTAACAAAATAAAATAGAAAAAACAATCTCTCATTTTCGTTTATTTTTTGCTCTTCAGCAAACTTCATTAACAAAGAACAATTAACAAGATAAAATAGAAAAAACAAAATCTGACTTTGTTTTATTTTTTACTCTTCAGCAAACTTAATTAACACGTGACAAGTTTGTTCTTCGTTGTCTTTAACGTAAAGAGGATTAGGTTTCATGATGGAAAACGTGACTGGGATATTTTGTTGTGATGCATCAGTCATGTGCTATCATATTATTTTCTTTTCAACATTTAACACTTGCTTCGTGTTAACTAATTACGGAAAATATTGGGAAAAAATGTCAGCGAAAAGTGCTTTTTAAATTAACATTGTAAACCAGATTATCACAATATAGTGGACATATGTACGCGAAGCAGCTAAGCAGCCTTTTTTCGTTTGACGTAAACATCCAACTCAACCAGTCTAACATTAACGAAACCAAAAGCAAATGTTACAGCTTATTTGATCTAAACTGCTATGTGGTAAACAACGCAAGAAACTACCGGTTTTCAGCTCATCTTAACTAATCTTTTGTATTCTAAAAATCCTCTTCGGGGTAGATAGGCAGTAGTTTGCCTTCTCCTTTCATCTTATTAGCCTGAGCCCGATATTCTTTCCGAGGCTAACCGACAACTCTTTTCAATGCACTTAACCGACGCTTTCCCGCTTTTTTCCGATTCCTGCTGTACAACTGTTTTGTACTTGTCAGGGTCAATTATCTTTAACTCACATATTCCTAGGTAGTCTCTTAAAGTGTTCCTAGGCACACCATATTCCCTCATTGCCTTGGCAAGGGAGCAATTTTTTTTGGCAAGAAGTCCAGGACCCCCTCATACCTTTCGTGGACGCCACTAAGGCTGAGGCCTGTAATTGGTCCTTAGCAACAGAATGACATTAAATTAGTGGTGGTGGCTTGCTACAGTCTTGAGGGGTTGCGGACCTAAGAAGGGCCCGACTTTTAAACTCTTTAGTAATACGATATTCAAATACGATATTCTACTGCCAAAACCCCACGGATATGCGACATTTGCGGCAACACAGACGTTAATAAATAGCCAAACTAAACTGCTGAGTGTCCAAGGGGACTGGGCCCTAACAGTCCT